TGTTTCCCTAATGATTTCCATTCTTTGTTCTATCCATTGTTGAAAGGGGAGTATTGAACTTTCCTACAATGACTGTTGAGCTTTTTCTCACTTCAATTCTGTCAAGTTTCCTTCATATATTTATAAGTTCTGATGTTCCGTGCATACATATTTATAATTGGTATAATTTTGTAGGTAAACTGATGATTTTATGTGGTCAATTACATATATAATATATACATTTTAAAAAAGTATCTTTCAGCTCCTTAAACATGTTATATCATTTGTCCTCTGCCTGAAGTCAATTTTCTTTCTTTTTTTCTTTCTTTCTTTCTTTCTTTCTTTCTTTCTTTCTTTCTTTCTTTCTTTCTTTCTTTCTTTCTTTCTTTCTTTCTTTCTTTCTTTCTTTCTCTCTCTCTCTCTCTCTCTCTCTCTCTTTCTTTCTTTTTCTTTCTTTCTTTCTTTCTTTCGAGACAGAGTCTCCCTCTTTGGCCCAGGCTGGAGTGCAGTGGCATGACATGGGCGCACTGCAACCTCTGCCTCCCTGGCTCAACCAATTTTATGCCTTGTCCTCCTAAGTAGCCTGGACCATAGGTATTCAGTCCTGCAGGCACCACCATGCCTGGCTAATTTTTTTTTTTTTTTTTTTTTTTTTTGGTAGGGTTGGGGTTTCACCATGTTGCACAGGCTGGTCTCAAACTCCTGAGCTCAGGCAATCTGCCCTCCTTGGCTTCCCAAAGTGCTGTGATTGTAGGCGTGAGACACCACGCCTGGCCAGAATCATCTTTTGCCTGGCTAACTCTTACACTGAGTCCTGTCTTAAATATCATCGAAGAAGTCTTTCCTGACTCTACATAAAATGTCATGTTCCCCTTCCTCCTTCACTTTGCCACCCAGTTGGGCAAGCTAGTTAATCTGCTTGGTACGCTCAATGCCTCAGTTTCCTCATCAATAAAATGGGGGATAATAATGGTATCTAAAATAATACCTTGCCAGGTGCACTAGCTTACACCTTTAATTCCAATGCTTTGGGAGGCCAACACAGGTGGATAGCTTGAACTCAGTAGTTCAAGTTAAAAAATAAAGTGAGCTAGAAAATCAGTTGTTGACTTTGTATACTTTTCCATATGAAACAAATAAGGGCAATATCATCGATTTCTTTCTAATTTATGTTGGTTATGGATATATGCAACCTTTGTAGGGGATCAGCTAAATCATCTGCTTTGTTTGGTAGTATTTACTTCAGTGCCTTTAACAGAGTGTTACGTAGCAAATTTGATAAATATGTACTCTATTTTAGGCTACTAAAGTGGAAGAATACATTGATGAGTTTGATTATTAGTATCTGTAAGCAGCTTAAAAATATGCTGCTATAAGCTACTTAAGAAATTGATGCTGCCCATATGGAGACTTTGGGACCATTGTTTTCCAGTATTCATATTCAGCTTGAAAGTTTTATTAATCCGACTTTAATAAGCTATGATATTATGCATTTGTGAAAACTGAGGTTAAAGCTTTCTTTCAGTACTGGGATTCTGTTTCTTTGCTTTTGTGTTTACAAATTTGTGTATTTTTCTGAATAATTAATTTGTAGGTTTGCACCTATACAGGTGTTAACTGAAAAGTATTACATGTGCAAGCATTAATGCCAAAGTAAAAAATTGTTTTATGAGTGATATAATCTGAATTCCTGTAAAGATTTCTATTTGATTCAGCATAATTGTGTTTATATATCTTTTTGGGAAAGAGTGTGAATAGCTGGTAGTTCATCTTCTAGTTCACATGTGTGCATATGATAACCATACAATTAGGTAGGTGTTATAAATAGGATATGGCAAAAAAGGCAAACCTACTCATGTTTCCAAGATTTTATAGCATATGCCTGGTGAAGTTTTGCTACTCTTTAATTTACTTTTTGGGTTAACCAGCTGACGCCCAGTTGAAAAGACTTATGTTCGTGTGAGGCCACAAAAGCCTTAATGTTCAGTCTCCAGCTAACTCAGATTTTGGAGAACGCTGTGTACCATCAGCAGCTTCAATCCCCACCCTCTAACACTAACGCTCATCTATCAAACTTGAGGCTGAGAGTGAGGGAGAGGAAGCTTCCAGATAAACATACAGCAGTGCCTAAACAGCTAATCACTCTAGGCTTCCGCTTCCAGGCCCTATAATTAGAAGTCCTTCTTTTTCCTTGTATTCCCAGATGACGCAAATGCTTTTTGTGGCTTGGCACCTCATTTGGGGCGTGGGTTTAGTTTATGGCCAGGCCAGAGTCTGGTTTAGTCTTCTGATGCTGCATAAATAGTTCTCAAGCCACAGTCTACTCTGTACCAGTTTTTCCTTTTATGTATATGTACATTTTAACTTGTTTTCTAGAAGAAAAAAAAAAAAGCTTGCTATTGCCCTAGCAGAATGTGTGCAAAAGAGGAAATTGTAAATGAAAAGAAAGCACGTGATTATATAGTCCTGTACTAGCTATTTCTTTTTCTCTTTTCTTCTTCTTAAATTTTTTCTATTATTTTTAAAATTTTGTATGAAAAAAAAACTTATTGGTGGATTGCATTTGCATGGTGGAGTGGAAAAAAAGTGTTTGAGATAGGATACACAGACGATATTTAATGGACGTTTTCCTGAAAATTTGAATTCGATTTACATAATCATAACTAAACAGATATGAATGCCAGTTTGCAAAGATAGGAGCATATGGGAAAGTGTTCATTTGTGATTTTCATTCATATGTAAAACAGTAATAGTCTTGATTTGGCAAATGAGGACCTTTATTTGAATGCTCATTCTACATAAAACATTGGTACGATTTAAAACGAAATGTAATGAAGTTTATGGTAGGTGAGGAATATATGTTACAAATGCAAATTCATCTTATTTTTTGTCAGAATATTTCTACTGAATTGTTTGTTAAGTGCAGAAAATTTGTTACAGAGAGGTGGAATCAGAAGATAGTAGTGGATTTACTGATAATTCAAACTTACTATAACTCAGCAAAAAAGTAGGAAGAGTGGCAAAGTAGTGTCTGCAAATGGACAACAAAGCATTTATGCCTAAACTTAGAAATTCATTGTTTGGATAACAATAAGTAAGGAATGTATAGTATGTCAATAATCTTATGATCATAGCTAGATATATTTTGAGAGGTAAGATTATATGTTACAATTAATTAAATTATTTATAATAAACGGCACCTTTCATTTTCTCAAATGTATTGTCTTGGAAATAGACAGGACAGTGGCATCTAGTAGGATATTTTGATATAGTGACTAGAGCTGTACTTTGTATTTGCCAAAGAAATAGCAAACTCAAATATACTTTGTCTTTTCATTGAAATGACTATCTTGTTTTCCCTCAGATGCTTAATATTCTTTTATGCCTTTTTGTTCAACAAAACATTAGTTTAAATGCTTATACTAATGTGATTCTACTTCTGGGAATAGCAAGGTAAATGTACAGACCATTCTTCCCCTAGAAAACAATTATGAAACCTGGGCAAAATACAAATGAATAGGCACATAAAGTTAGATATGTGTATTATAATCTCTGGAACAAACAGTAAAATTTTAATATAAGGAGATATAGCCCAAAAGTCCATAGATAAATTATTTATTTTTAACATTCACCAATAAGGATTATTAAAAATAAGTAGTCTCAAACCAGCAAGAAAGCCTGAGAAGAGAAATAAACAAAATTGAACAAAATGTTGTAGTTAGCATTCCATAAAAATTGAATATTACAGGCTGGGTGCGGTGGCTTACTTTGGGAAGTTGAGGTAGGTGGATCACAGGTCAGGAGTTCAAGACCAGCCTGGCCAACATGGTGAAAACCTGTCTTTACTAAAAATATAAAAATTAGCCAGGCACAGTAGTGCACGCCTGTAGTCCCAGCTACTCAAGATTACCGAGGCAGGAGAATGGCCTGAACCCAGAGGGCAGAGGTTGCAGTGAGCCAAGATTGCACCACTGCACTCTAGCCTGAGAGACATAGTGAGACTCTGTCTCAAAAAAAAAAAAAAAAAAAAAGAAAAACCACACATTTGAAAACTAAAAGTTTTTCTCATCCTCCTGAGTTGCTGGGACTATAGGTGCCTGCTACCACACCTGGCTAATTTTTTTACATTTTTAGTAGAGAGGGGGTTTTGCCATGTTGGCCAGGGTGGTCTGGAACTCCTGACCTCAGGTGATCCACCTGCCTCACCCTCTCAAAGTGCTGGGATTACAGGGATGAGCCACCGTGCCCCGCTGAGTTAAGTTTTAAACTGGTGAATCAAGTAGAGCAAGTAGTAGTTGGATCAGTAGATTAATTGGAGCGTAGAATTAAAGTTTGAAGAAATTGCAAAAGAGAGTGGATTTTAGTTCCATGTGGGTATGCCATTTTCACATTTTTTGTTTTGAAAAATGATTGTGGCTGGGCATGGTGGCTCGTGCCTGTAATCCCAGAGATTTGGGAGGCCATGACAGGAGTGCTTGAGGCCCAGAGTTTGAGAGCAGCCTGGGCAACATGGCAAGAACCTGTCTCAACGAAAAAAAAAAAAAAAGCCAGGCATGATGGCATGTGCCTGTAGTCCCAGCTACTTGGGAGGCTGAGACAGGAGGATTGCTTGAGCCCAGGAATTTGCAGTTGTAGTGAGCTGTGATCAGGCACCTGCACCCCAGCCTAGAAAACTGAGTGAGATTCTGCTTCAGGAAAATATAAAATAAAATTGTGAATTCTGTAAATTCATCACTGATCAATTCAAGAATGTCAAACTTCACTCTACTAGTTTTACAGGAATGCCGTAATACCTGCCTATCTAGTGTTTATAACTTGGTGATATAATGATGTGTCATTAAGCTTGGTATTCTCCTGAAAAATATACTTTCTTTTAATTTTTTCTTTTGTAAAGTGTCTTAGAGCCTTGGTAATTTTTTTCCCTTTGATAATATTTTAAATATTGTTGAGTAGCTTTTTAGAATATTTCATCCACATACAGAGTCATTTTTATTTTTACCCTTTGTTTTTTTGTCTTCCAGGAATGCTTCTAGTCACAACAGACACCCTTGGCCATGACTTTCATGTCTTCCAAATTCTGACTCATCCTTGGTCCTCATCACAAAGTGCTGTCCACCATCTGTACACTCTTCACAGGGGAGAAACTGAAGCCAAAGTAAGCTGTGTATTTTTTCAGAAGGCGATTTCTTGGTGTAATATGTCATCTACTCTAGCTGGTCATTTGTATCACATTGCAGCTTAATGTTGATGTTTGTGAGAAAATATTGCTTTCTGTCATAGAATGGGTTAGATAATTAGGGAAAAATTCCATTTGACCCAGTAAATACATAAACACTAGATGAACACTTTGTTGTTTAAAAATTCAACAAATTTTGATAAAACAGTAGCTCTGTTTATGGTGCTCTTCCCAACCTTATACCATTTCTTGCCCCAGACAAAACCCCTGTCATTCATTTGTTGTCTCTCCAGACCTTTTACTGGGCGTTTTGATTCTCCGGACATAAATATGTGTGTGCATACATACACACACATATACATATAAATACGGATGTAGTCATGTAAACAAAAATAGATATAGTGGAGGCTAGTGAGAAACAGTTATGCACATCCCTCTTTAGCGTGATATTTAGTGACATTATATTGTTTGTATGAAATCATCCATGGTGGGATTATTTGATCATGAAAATTTGCAAAAACTACAAATCAGGGCCGTTTTTTTCCTTCAGAGAGCTGGATTTTAAACATTTACCAGCATATAATCACGTATACATGCATGGGTACACATATGTTCATATGTATCATTTACTGCATACTTACATCAGGCATCATGCTAAGTACTTCACAGATATTTAATATTCTTAATATCACATGGTAGATCTCTATATTTTCTTAATAGCCTAAAATCTCAAATACCTTTTGTTTCATAGCTTATATGCACTTGCCAGTACTGTATATATGTTATTCTACGAGATAGCTGATTAACCCTACTCTATTTATTGACTAGCCTATCATTTTCCAACAGTCTAAAGTGGTTTCTCTTAAGTTCACACCAAAATAAATGACTATAATGGACTGAATCATTTTAAATATAGAGAACTTAAACTCTAATAGTTACCAGAATATGTTTGAAAAAGCATGAGTTCTTACTCTAGGTTGCTTGTTTACTAATTCACTCTGAAAATTGATAAACTAAAAATAGACAGTGTTTACCACACTCTTCTCATATCAATTTAATAAGACAAGTAGTTGAAGGAAAGTTTTTATGTTGAAATACTCTTTTTTTTTTTTCTCTCAAAATGGAGTCTTGCTTTGTTGCCCAGACTGGAGTGCAGTTTCACAATCTCAGCTCACAGCAACCTCCATCTCCTGGGTTCAAGCAATTTTCCTGCCTCAGTCTCCAGAGTAGCTACAATTACAGGTGTGTGCCACCACGCCTGGCTAATTTTTGTGTTTTCAGTAGAGACGGGGTTTCACCGTGTTGGCCAGGCTGATCTTGAACTCCTGACCTCATGATCTGCCTGCCTTGGCCTCCCAAAGTGCTGGGATTATAGGCGTGAGCCACTGCGCCCAGCTTCATTGAAATAGTCTAACATAAAAAAAGCTTAAGTAAAATTTTAAAAATCATTTTAAAAGTTTCTTATAAAATTTTATTTGTTATTTTTATTTTGGGAACAGGATCTTGCTCTGTTATCCAGGCTGGAGTGCAGTGGCAGGGTCATAGCTCAGTGCAGCCTTGACCTCCTGGGTTCAAGTGATCCTTCTGTCTCAGCCTCCCAAGTAGCTGGGACTACAGGTGCATGCCACCACACCTGGTAGCTTTTTCAGTTTGTTTTCTTTTTTTGTAGAGATGACACTATGTTTTCTCACTGTGTTGTTGCCCAGGCCAGTCTCAAACTCCTAAGCTCAAGTGATCCTCCTGCCTCAGCCTCCCAAAGTGCTGGGATGGCAGGTGTGAGTCACCACCTGGCCTATTTTTAATTTTTGTGGGTACATAATAGTTGTGTATATTTCTGGGGTACATGTGATATTTGGATACAAGCATACAATGTATAATGATCATATCAGACTAATTGGGATATCTATCACCTCAAACATTTATTGTTTCTTTGTATTGGGAACATTCTAAATCTACTCTTCTATTTTGAAATATACAATAAATTATTGTTAACTATAGTTACTTTTGCACCAAGCTAAGAAATCGGCTTCTAGATATAGTTAGCACTTTGGAGAAAATACAGAAATAGAGCGATAAAATAAACAATACTATGAAACTGAAACTGTGCAACTCTAAAAGGTATGAAGTTCTGCAATACAAATATGGTTTGATTTCTTTAACAAATAATTGTATTGGGAAAATAAAAGTTGGCCGGTTGTGGTGGCTCATGCCAGTAATCCCAGTACTTTGGGAGGCCGAGGCTGGTGGATCACGACTTCAGGAGATTGAGACCATCCTGGCTAACATGGTGAAACCCCATCTCTACTAAAAATACAAAAAATTAGCCAGGCATGGTGGCACATGACTGTAGTCCCAGCTACTCTGGAGGCTGAGGCAGGGGAATGGCTTGAATCTGGGAGGCGAGGTTACAGTGAGCTGAGATCCTGCCACTACACTCCACTGCAGCCTGGGCGACCGAGAGAGACTCTGTCTCAAAAAAAAAGTTGATGTGTGGTGGGGGAAAGGTGAACTGTTAAAAATTTGAGGGAGACTTTGGAGAGTATCATCTAAATACAAAGCGTGGACCTTATTTAAATCATCTTTCATACAAACTAAGTATAAAAAGACATTTCAGACAAGCAGTGATATTTCTACATTTGACTTACCATACGTTATTATTATTAGATATTATATAGATAATATTATTAGATATTTAAGAATTTAAAGTCCTTATTTTTTAGTGATGCAAATGTATTTACAGATGTCTGGAATTTGCTTTGAAATGATCTAGCGAGAGGGGAGGGTTGGTTAGATAATAAGGCAAATAAGTGACAGAAGAAAATAGAGGGATGGTTATGTTGGTTAGAAGAGACTTAAAATACACATTGAGTAAATGCATTGTGAAAACTTTGGACCCTGATCTAAATAAAGTATAAAGAGACATTTTTGAGACAGTTGGAGAAAATTGACTATGAGCTAGGTATATATGATGTTTATCAAGTATGACTAATTTGCTGTGTATATAATTGTATATCTGTTTTGTAGAGACAGAGTCTTGCCGTGTTACCCAGGCTAGTCTTGAACTCCTGGGTTCCCACCTCTGTCTCCAAAGTGTTGGCATAAGCCACTGCGTTTTCTTGTCACTAATTTTTTCAAGTCATTATTTATTAGGCATATATTCTGAATTATTTATAGGTGAACAGATATGGTATCTCTAATGTGCTTTAAAATATTTGGCAAAACAAACAATGAGATAGCATCAATAGATTTGCAAAGTGTTAATTATTGAAGTTGAGTGATGTCCACATAGGTGGGTAATGTTAACATTCTCTATACTTTTTGTATGTTTGGAAATTTCTCTAATAGGAAGCAAAAATAACACCCTTCACCAACTTTTTTACTTACTTTAGCTTTATAACTTGATGTATTGTTCATTTTCAAAAGCTTTCCCAGCTGTTGTGTTTTAGAGTGACCTTATTGTGTTATGTAGTGAATCCTGTGGAGATTTTGATTTAAACTGAATTGAAATTACTTTTTAATACAATTAGAACTGACATCTTTATGTTGTGGAAGTTTTGCAACTAGGAATTGTAGCATTTTAAAGTTTGTCATTGCTGTGATACGGCAAACTATTGAAAATTTTGTATTGAATTTGCATCTTCCTGCTTTGTTAAATTCTCTTATAAAATGTTTTTCAGTTAAATTTTCTTGGAATTTCTAAGTGGAATACATTTTCTGAAAATCATTGCTTTTTGCTTTTATTTTTCTCTTTTTGGCTAGGAACTCTAGAATATTATGCAAGTTTGTAGTGATAGCTATATTGTTTGCTTTTTGAATAATATTTTGTTTTATGTTATTGTTTTGCTCTATTTCTTGAATATTTTTTATTATATAAGTAATACATAATAACATTTTGGGGGTAAATTTTAGACAATCTGGAAATACATGGAGCAAAACATGAGTTACCCATTACCTCTCTGCAACCAGAGCTGCTTTGCTCGGCAATCTGTTGTGCCTTCTTAAGATTCCCATATGTATTCATGTAGATGAAATTATTCTTAACAGTGCAGTGGTATTATATCTTTTTCAGTTATTACCCTTCCACTGGTGATCTGAGGATTAAATAAAAAGATTTTACTTAACTTTTCTAATTTGAGTTCTAACAGTTAAAGATCAATAGTTCTTAAAAGCTATTTAATATCTAGGGGAAAATTTAACTTACTGATTTATAGGGTTTTGGCATTTTCTTTTCTTTCTTTCTTTTTTTTTTTAGATGTAGTCTCATTCTGTCATTCAGGCTGGAGTACAATGGCGCGATTTTGGCTCATGGTAGCCTCTGCCTCCCTGGTTCAAGTGATTCTCCTGCCTCAGCCCCCTGAGTAGCTGGGACTATAGGCACCCACCACAACACTTGGCTAATTTTTGTATTTTTAGTAGAGACAGGATTGCACCATGTTGGCCAGGCTGGTCTTGAACTCAGGTGATCCACCTGCCTTAGCCTCCCAAAGTGCTGGGATTACAGGCGTGATCCATCATGCCCGACTGGGTCTTGGCATTTTCATAGTCTAAGTTCTATTTGAATTAATTCATCAGCTTTAATTAAAATGTTAAAATCTTGAATTCGTATCCTTTATTGTATACTTTTTGTACTTTTTGTGTGATTGTTGCTACAGCTCAGAAAAGATTAAAGACAGGAAATGGGTTTGCACATTTTTCTGTATCTCTGTTATTTTATCATCAGGCTAAACTGGGAAGTCTTTTTAATTTTTTAAAAGTTATTTTTAAACATTTTTTTTCTTTTGAGATGGAGTCTCACTCTGTTGTCCAGGCTGGAATGCAGTGTTGCTATCTTGGCTCACTGCAACCTCTGGCCCCTGCAATTTTCCTGTCTCAGCCTCCTGAGTAGTTGGGGTTATAGGCGCCTACCACCATGCCCAGCTAATTTTTGTGTTTTTTAATAGAGGTGGGGTTTCACCATGTTGGCCAGGGTGGTCCTGAAC